TTTTTCGCTTTCTGCACTTGGCATTTTACTATCTCAGTATCAGTAGCTATCCTGTTAAAGTTTTCGTTTTATTAGGTTTTGCTCAAAGTGCAAAGGTGATTAAGTTTGATGAGAAAAGTCTCATACTCCCTAGAGCTGTTTAGTTATATCGACTCACCAAACACCAAAAACGCAAGAAAAATAAAATAATTTTTACCTTTTTTTGTGCTACGAAAATGCCTTGGCCTTGTTTGCGGAGTGATAGAGACCCCGGATACTTGAATGACTGAGAACCCCCGACTGGGCTTGTCTAATGTCAACTCATTTCATTCGTTGTTTTTTAGGGTCTTTCCCTATGAAGTCACAAAGGGAAATAAAACAGTTATTTTGGGAAATACCTCCCATCGGGGATCATGCTGAGACCAACACATAAGATTTTTCACTGGGACTCATAAATGACCTCTCTTACGCTAAGTCATCGGAGAAGCACTGGGCTCTGGAGGTAGAAATTACATATATTTCTGAGATTAACAGAGTGATGTTTATTGCAAGAGTTGACTCGACAGACAAAGCTTCCTTTTTTTTACATAAGGGTAAAATTGTATTTTGTGAATCTGTGAATGAGTCAATCTGTCCAAAATTTTCGATCAACCGGAAGAAATGATGAACAAGGCTAACAAGTTGATAAATTTTATATTTTGCAGGCCATCATGAATATTATTGAAGACATCGCACATTTGTATTCTTTCCTTCAAAGCGTCACTGGCAAGTCAGGGCAGGTAAGCGATGTCGTGGCATTTTATTCAAGTTTTTTGTTTTAACCATCTGTTGCTGTTGATGTTAACCTGGATTAGCTTTATGTCGCTGTTTAGATCAGTTTTGAGCTAACGAAATGAAAATCACCACCCTCTCACCTTAAACGCATGCTTAAGCAAGATCGAAACGGTTGTTATCAAAGGATTCGATCATTACGTCAAATTTTTTGTTTTAACGATCTGTTGCAGTTGATATTGTTCAGGGCTAGCTTTACGTCGCTGTTTAGATCGGTTTTGAGTTAACGAAATGAAAATTATCATTTGCATCGCAAAGTTTTCCATGAATGGACTTGTTAGCAAAATCATAAAAACTGTACATTAAACTGCACCGAAGGCAGTAAAGAAAAAGGCAGGTTTGTCAATTAAAGTACGTTTATTTAAGTCAGTTCCGTTTGATGGCAAGTTTGTTTTACTTTTTCTGATGTCATGACCTGGAAAAATCCCTCTTTCATTTTCTTGGTATTTTCGAAACTGTTGTAATAGCTATAAGTATCTTATTCAAGGAAATAGACCTTTGTGTTAATTATACAAGATAAGCGAAATTGACGCCAACGGCTAGAGTAGACTTGAAAGGGAAATTATTCTCCATGAATTAAAATTTCGCAAAGTCGCACAAACCTCGATATCTAAATGTGGAAAATCAAAACTAGTCAAATCTTCTCAATATATTATCAGTCTTCGATCCCTTTAAGCCAGTCACTTTACGTGTACGTCCGTATTTGATTGTCTTCAAGTGGGATTCATCTCCTGCAAAAAAGCATTTTACGAAATGAATCAAAATCTGATCGAGATCATGTTTAGCTTCGAACTAGAACAAACTTGGGAAAAGAAGCTGTTAAAGAAATCTTATAACATTTTGATTCTCTCGCTGGCCATCACTGATGCGTTGACCAGTATTTGCTTGGTTACTAACCCTGCTTATATCTATGGTGATTTGTTTTCCTACCCAAAAAGCCCCGCTCTGGGAGAGATATTCTGCCGGTTTATATGGAGCCGTTTTACTGCATGACTATGACCAAGAGAACTAAGAGAAAACTGGCTTTTAAAAGATGTTTTATCAAAACCAAAATTTTTCTTCGGAGTTTTAAGATTGGACCTGAAAAAAAAATGACGATGTTTTGATGGAAAAGTACGGGTATTAGTTGCTTCTAAATCGTGGATGATTTTGGAGGGTAATGATGCGGACAAATACCGTAGACGCGCTTAGAGGATTTCAAAATCAGCCGGTATTGAGCGAAGGAGACTTGATTTCTTTCCATCATCATAATCAATTATCCTTCTGTTTAGCTCAAGTTCAAGGATCGTGTGATCGAATACAAAGCTGAAGGTCGAATTCATAAACT